AAGGTTATTCATCCTGATCTCTGGCACAACAACTAGAGTTTGCATGAAGAAGGGAGCGACAAACACAACAAGGTTGAATGACGTTAAGGTGCTGCAGCCGGAAGACGAATTCCAGCTCCAGGGTGACCTGCCCCGGGAATGCAAGATTCGCAAACGAGGCATGTTGCAGCTAGGTGCAAGTTACACCCCACAGAACACACAGTTTAAAGGTGCTGCCTGTACAAAAGAAGACTGAGAGTGTGAAGTCGTCAATGAGTTTTCATGTTTCTGCCTAGCACGGCGGCCCCGTGATGGAGCTGTCAAGACTGCTTCGAACCTCCATACCGCCCAAAACTTTGGAAACCTGAGTCTTGTGATGGGACGTCGTCAAGCCCGGAACTTGCCTTCAGACCATCACTGGTGCGGACGATTAAAGGCTTCTCGTAGACGTCCTCCTGGTAAGCGATCAACGCGATCAACTCAGTGATTGGGGTGCCCCTGTCCCAAGACATTACAAACGATGTCTTCACCTGCACCCTGACCGTCCTGAGTGGGCTGGAAGGAGCCATCGAAATTTCTGAAGTAGCCTTGGTCACAATGAAAGAAATGGTAATCACTACAGAAAACAACTCTAGCGCTTAACCGTTACGGCATGCTTGGTTTTCTGTCTGTTTTGTACTACTGCCCCGATTAGTTGTTCCAGTATCCAGTATCAATGAATGTCAAATTTCATGAACGATATCTGAATACTGCATACTGTGAGGCTTGAGCAGGAAGGCAAAAAACACGAAACATTCAACAACAAATGTTAAGTTGATATTAACTGGGCATTAGTACGGACAAAAGCAATAACCCATGTGTGGCCGATACTGTTTGACTGCAAAACTGTAAAGAATGGATCAGCGAACAGTGCTGCGCATGAAGTTCTGTATAAACACACCAAACAGGTAAGTACATCTGGGGCGGGGCAACTTATATATATATATATATAATATATATGTATATACGTATATTCCTATACACACACATAAGCAAACATATAGGTAAATATATACAGATTTCTCCATTTGCAAGCAAAAAAACTGAAGATACAAACACAAAAACATATAATTTATGGGGCGGCCCTATGCAACTCTCACCACTCACAAAGCAACCCCCCTCACACACCACATCCACAAAGCACAACTGAAGCTTTTCGGGCACATTCTTCGATCCCATCCGACTACCATAGAACGGAACTGTTGCTTTACACATACTTTTCAGTACAGAGGAGGAACAGTAGGTGCAGGCCTCAGGCCAGGTGGGAGGAGAGTCCATTGGACAGAACAGTGTACCAAACTACTTTGGCACTGGCTTTAAAGTCCTCCCGGCTACCTCCCACCCGAAGCCCTAATTTCCCGTTTTCTTGTCTACAAGCTCACAGATTAGCTGTAGACCGCCACTTTTGGAGTAACTTAGTGAGGCTGCCACGTGCAGGACATTCCTCACAGCTAATTCCTGTTCAATCGGCGCGAGCCTCTTGGTTGGTCTAGGTGCGGGCTGTAGGCTGTAAAACTTGCGTGTAGGAGGTGCTTTTGAAGTGAAGGATTTTGCGGAGGCACCGTGAGTGGAATGCCTCCAGTCTGTTGTAGTCGCCGGTGGTGAGTGAGAGCTGCTGATTCTAACCCATAGGTGACGAGTGGAATGAAGACTGCATTGTAAATTCTGAGCTTCCACTTGAGTGTGAGGTCTGTATTGCGCCAGAACTGGTGTAGCGAGTGGAAGCGTTTTCGCGCCCTAGCCAGGCGAGTGGTGAAGTCCTTGTGTTCTGATCCGTCGCAGGATGACTCCAAGGTACTTGGAGTGCTGTTCGATAGTGACGGGCGTGCCGTCTTTGAATGTGATGGCGTTGTGTGAGGTGGGTGAGCATAGAAGAACGCACTTCTTGAGGTTGAGGCGCAGGTTGCTGTGAGAGGCCACTCTTTGGAGAGCGTGGAGCAGTTGGTCTGATGTGGTGGTTGTGCCTGCCAGTAAAGCTGTGTCGTCTGCATAGGCAAGGTCGTAGAAGGGCTGGTTTTGGCTGTAAAGCCAAGGAAGGAACTCGCCGTTGGCCGTGAGTTCCGCGTCCACATCATGCATAATCATCCCGTGTACCACCAGAAAGAGATGCGGTGATAGTGGACATCCCTGTCAAATGCCCGACTGCGCAGTTTCCTTGCTGCTGCTGCGACCGGCTGCTGCCACCGTGAACTGTGGGGAGGTGTAAATGCTTTTGATGAGTGTTATGAAGTGCGGGGGAACACCGAACCTGTCGAGCGCAGTGAGCAGAGCCTGTGGGTGGATCCTGTCGAAAGCCTTTTCCCAATCCGAAAGGATGGTATACAGGGACTGCCCTGTAGCTTCTGCTCGCTCGATCAGGCGACGGATGATGTGTATTGGCTGTGAGGTAGATCTAGCTGCTTTGAAGCCAAACTATGTGCCTCGGAGACGGTCGTCGATGGCCTTCTGCAGCCTTGTGTGGAGGATCTTGGCGAAACGTTTGTATGAAGTGCTGAGTAGGGAACTGGGGCGGTAGCTTGCAGGGTCTGTGGGTGAACCTTTGCCTCTGTAAACTATGGCTTCGTGCCAGTCGTCGGGAATGGTGGCGGTGAGCAGGGATTGGTTGAGCACTCTAAGGAGCTTGTTGGTTGTGCTGTCCTAGCCACTGCCAAGCTTCTGCTGGGAGGCTGTCTGGTCCCGGTGCTTTGTCATGCGCTAGCTGTTTAAGCGCTTCCTGAAGCTCTTCCGTGGTGATGGGGTCCAAGTCGACTGGAGCTGGCGGATGTGTGGGGTGTGTGGGGCCGGAGTAATTGGAGCATAGATGTGACTAAAGACAGAGACACAGATATAGATATGGATACATCTATAGATATAGATATGGTTACAAATGTAGAATACTTATTGTTATAGTTACAGATATGGATACAGATGTAGATATAGATATAGATATAGATATAGATATAGATATAGATATAGATATAGATATCGACATAGATGTAGATACAGATATCAGATATAGACATAGATCTAGATCTAGATAAAGATATAGATATCAGGCGTAGATATAGTTATTTGACTCAGATACAGATATTGCTATAGGTATGGGTATAGGTATACATATTCTAGGTGAAGATACAGGCTAAGATATGGATCTAAGTATAAAAGCAGATACCGTTAGCGATATAGATGTACTTCTTTCTGCGGCGGGAAAGCTTAACAATACGGAGCAGAAACACAACCCAAAATGAATATTGTGCGTTGGTTGTTTTGTATCCAAAAGCCACCATATTTTCTACGTGTCACAACCAGGCAACAATAGCAGGAACAGCAGAAGTAGGTTTCTCCACACAAGGAGCAGCAGCTCAACTTCTTGGACTCTTCGGATAGATGTCTTTGACGCGAAATTCTGGAACGCAGCACGTCAACAGCAATCAATGCACATCGCATCGCAAGAACCCGACAGGCTGCTACCACGCCACAGTACTTGCTTGTCGCAGGGAAAAGGAGGAGATAGCTGCCAAGGCCGACGAAGTGCAATCCAGCCTGCCCGTCATGAACGCACCTGGAACACACAGAACTGCACCCCATGCTAGCACAGGCGCTCAACGAACAGGCATCCCGCAAAAAGACTACTCAAGCAGAATCCGTGTTGTCCAGCGCAATGAACTACATTGAAGACCTTCCGCTGGAGCTGCTGCACAGAGCTCCTAGTTAGTCCATGATGCTGGCAAACAAAACAACAGCTCGGGGGTGAAGCCGAACTGCCAATGAACACTGCTGAAACACGACTCCATTCCAGTCAGTCACATTCGACCCATGCCCGAAGTAAAGTGAAGGTGAAGAGCTTCCTCAGGCCTGTGTGATGGCATCTTCTCTCACAGACTCTGCCCACCAGTCATACACCAAGGCCCACCTCACGGGAGAGAACATGAGAAAAGCTTGGGCAACTCGGTAAACTCTCACTTTGCCCGTTTGGCCGCGTTCTCCGTTCCAAAGCTTGGCTGCACTTTGTGACTTCGTGTTAACTGTAAAGCTTGCTGAGCATCCGGCTGGCTGCTCTCGACCTGGCGCGACATGCTGCTTCTGAGGCTCTCGACAGAACTCCAAAGCACCTTCTTGAAGCCCAGGCCAATGAAGATGAGGATGCAGATGAATGTCCTATCAAGTGCAGTTTTCTGATGAAGGTGACTCTCATCAGACTCCAAACTATGCTGTGCAGGATACCAGGGAAAAAAAATGAGGCACTGGCAGGCAACAGCAGCAACCGGCACTGCCGTACACCAAGGCTGAGACCTGCGTCACTTCCACACTTCTGGACGGGCAATTTTAAAACTGAATTTGAATTTTGCAGAGACTTGAGCGACGCTCAAACGACTCGGGCGAACACACACGACACACCTCCAATGTTAACTCAACTACCAAGGAAACAGAATTTGCATGAGTTGGTCCTGTCATTGTGCAGGTTGCCCTGCTTTTGCACTTCTGATCCAGTGGTGCTCAACCACTCCCTCCGAGTCCCCGACCATCTCAGGGCCGTCAAGTCCGGCGTTCCTGCCCCAAGCAACCGAATCTTGTGAAGCTGCAGCAGCAACTGTGGCCAAAAGCAACTAAGCTCTTCAGACTTCTTGTCCAGAACATTGATTCAAGAACGTTCCAAAATCTCCGAAAATCGACTGCTTGGCCACGCCGGAGACTGGTGAACGGTTTTAAAAAGGGTCTGGGTATCGACCGAAGCCTAAGGCAGGACAGTTTCCAAATCTGCACTCTCTGAGCTTTGAGCCTGCACTTCCTGCCCACTTCGGGCTCATAAATTCTCGGCTTCACCCCTTGAGCCAGACACAAGGCAAGGCAAGGCAAGGCGACATTATTTTTCGCAGACTGGAAACGGAAGGCACAGTTTGCTGAAAGTTGGGGCACCGAGCTAGCTGTTGAATTCAGGCTAGACGGTGCCAACCATCGCTCAGGTCTGATAATTAGCAGCAAGCCCGTGACACAGCCAGCTCCTTCTGTAGCGGAAGGACACGTAAAGCGAATGCCTCACAGGCAACGCAGATTCAGCTTCAATGGTAGCCAAAGAAAGCCTGATGAACACCAAGAAATATGAGCACAGCGGTTGCCAGCATGCAATCCGAACAAACACTGAGCAAGCGGTCCAAAAGTGAGCCAGCATGCCCAGCGATTGAAAGTCAAACAATCCCAGGAAGTCTACGCGGCCAGCAACAACAGACAGCGAGGCAGATCGACAAAGAGAGGCCAAGCATGTTAAGGCCGAACAAGTTTAAAAAACATGCGGCTGAGCGTCGGCCACAGCATGAACGGCAGCAGTATCATCAGCTGCAGTAAGTATCGTCAGGGGCAGCGGCGGCATCATCATCATCATCACAGCCAACACCACCACTTATTCATGAGAAGTATACTTGAAGAAGCAGCAAGTGTTTGCTGAGATTCGAAAGTCTCGACGAGGCTGAAGCAAGAGGCCTGTAACTGACGTGGCTTTCGGAAACGGCATGCGGAAATCTGCTGTCTGCATCGCCGTTTTGCAGAATAGCGCTGGTGACACAAAGCTGCAAGCAGGAATTTCATGGGCCAATGTCAAACCTTCTGCTGGAAGAAGAGCTGGAGCCGCAGGAACTCCCTCGCAGCAGTCATTCCAAGACTCATGTTCGGGCTCATGCAGTCATGTTCGGTTGAAGCGAAACCCTGACAGTGCGTGGACGGGCTGCGGATGGAGTCCAGATGCACTGGGACCCGCTCTCGCCTTTTGGTGCTTCGGCAGGCTCCGTATGTACCTCGCCCCAACACCAAGCACCAGGTGTGCAAGTCTGATCTGATGGGTGGTACCGCCATGTGGCGCAAGAATAAGCTCTGTGTATTCATGTGAGAGTCTGGCCTGTCTACTAGAGCGACCACAGACATGTAGCTTGTATCAAACGCCACCGTGTACGTATTTCTTCAGCAGAGTACAAGCGACGTCTGCACAGCACAAGGAGACGGTCTACTAACAAGGCCAACACAAAAACTCACCACCAGCAGCACCACCCACCACTGAGGCTTGAGCAAAGATGATTACCTTGGGTACGGCTGCTTATCACCAACAAGACTACATGCAAAGGCTTGATGTGACGAATCGTGTCACCATGCCTTCGTCGTTCTCAGACTGTCGAGCTGTGCCTTGATTTTTTGTTCCAAAACAACAGAGTCAATCCTGCAATGAACTCTGAACTGGCTTCTGCGCAGATGCCGAACCAGGAGGTGCGTCCAGAAGGGCCTGCCACTCAGCTTGCACTGAATGCCGGCTCAACTACGCGTATCTGGTGTGGCCATGTCAACTTGAACGCATGGGCGAAGCGCGCAAACGTACAGAAACCGTCTCCTCCTCAGCAGCTCCTCTTGCAAGGAAGTCAACCTCCAAGATGCATGAGGCCGGAACTTTTGTAAATTTGGCTGATGTGCTGGATTCCAGCAATTGGCGTTGACATTGAGTGAAAACAGCCTCGATACGCTGCGCCGAGCAGCGCGCTCTGTACCACAGCTTGTTCCTCGCCCGCTTTTTGAACTGTTCCGTACGTGTTGATCATGGCAACACCTATTTATCACAAATGTTCTACAGAGAAAGACTTCCTGGAGGTGGATTCGGGAATGGAGCTTCCGTCGTACGCTTGCAAAGGCAGCTATTGTCTCGCCTTTCCTTATCAAGCCCACGCGTAGGCATAAACCCAGTCGAGATTTTCTACACGTATACATGTGGCTGCCAAACTGTGCTCACGGCTTCCCAGCTTCAGGACCGAATCACACCAACATGTTGCAATGCATATAGACACACCCGAAACCTGAGCAATCAACATCGCAGAAACAGTCCTCTTCATTGGCGTTATTACCGCCATGGAACCCGACTGGCTCACCTCGCACGGAGCAAGCAGCAAACAGTGGACACTGATCACCACAGCAGCATGTGAATCTGCAAAGATTGCGACGTCAACCTTCCAGCAAGAGCTTCGCGGACTAACTCTGAATTTGTCAGCAGGCGGAGCTCGCATCGGTTGGCAGCACACACAACAAGTCGCTGTACGAGCTGGATTCGCATCCGCCACATAATCGCTTGCGGTGTGAGTGCAACTGTCTGACTGTCATGTGCTACAACGGAATCAAAGTCTGGGGATCGCGCACATGAAATCGTCGGCGAATGTCCACTTCTGCGCACACCGGACAACTGCTGTAAGTTATAGACACAAGGCTTAGACTGTCCATGCATGCTTGCAGCACTCCTGAGTCCTAGTCCGAATTAGTTCATTTGGCCACATGGCCACAAAGGATAGTGCAAAAGTCGCCGCGTTGGATTGGACATCTGAGCGACACGCTGGGACATCTCACGCGCCATTGCGAAGACCTTGGACGCACTATCACAAACATGAGACGTGGATAAACAAAGCATTTGCTGCTGAAATACTGCACAGCAAGATTTGCAGCGTGTCCACTGCAAGCTGCTGCATTTCCATGGCACGGCTGAAGTGTTAAGTTCGTGAACCGAAGTGCAATGCAGTCAAAGGCTAGCTGACACGACGAGCAAACAATGAAACGTTGGGTCCGGCATGCACATCCTCCCAGGTTCCATTGTCGAAGGTCTTCCTGCATTGTCGAGTCGGCTTGGTTGAGCACTTGTACGGCTTTGAACCACCGCCACGAAACGGTAAATGAACAAGCCGCTCCAAAAAAAGCCCCACAAAACTATCACCTACGCGCGCTTGCTGCAATCATCGACTGCAATCAAATGCTCCCTTATTTTCGACAAAACATGAATGCTTGCACATTTTGCACAACACAAAGCATCCGTCATCAAAGAAAGGCCTTACTTGCAGCATATTCCGGGCGACCAATCGATCGCGAAATCTCGACCATGCGGCAAAGACGCAGGAATGTTTTTTGGCACAGTGTTCCGTTCTAACGACTGTGCACAAGTTTAGCGTGTTGTCCATGCGACTGGCACGAGCTGGCGACGAGTTGGACTTGAACGTGCCTCTGGCCAGCTGCAAAAACTGGATGATTCGGATAGGATGTGACACACACACACACATGACGCTTCACGACGACGAATGATGGATGATTAACATGATGAAGTGCATGATAACAACGCAGCCAATGCTGATGCGTCAGAACCATCAAACATGCTCTACATCCAAGCTGCGAAACACCATAGAGGAAGTCATGTAACAGAATGTGGCAACTGAAAACCGAACAACTTAGCATCGTGCGAAACTATGAAACCGCATCATGTTTTCGCGTCGGAGGGAGGGAAGTGCTACCACACAAAGAAGCAAGTGCAAGCACGACCCTCTATATCTGTCTTAGTCGTAGAGCCGGGTCCGGTTTTCGGACCAGAACCGAAAGTCCGGTGGATTGGAGGACAGAAGCACCACTGAACCACCAGACGAGAAGTCACACCGGACACAACCAAAGACACGAAAGTCCGAAACAAGGAACTTCGGTTGTCGCACCAGTGCCACGAGGCACGAACAGCTGAAAGGGAAAAGCCACACGGAAACACTTTTTGTGGCTTGAAAGAAAAGCAAGAAAAAAGTCCTACGTTTTTGTAGCAAAAACCACTAGGAGTTTTTGAAACCTCGACGATCTATTTGGTCCCAAAATCACATGATGAAAAACGAAAAATGAAAAAAAATCAATACAAAATGAACCAGACGTCTTTCAACAAAAGAAACCCAAACGAATTTTTTCTATTTCAAAGAAAAGCCACACAAGCGCTTTGAAAAAAGAAAACAAGAAAGAAAAAAAGTCCAGAAAACCACGTCTTTAAGCCTTGTCCGTGGCTGAAACGCTGACAGTTAAGCAAGACGCAGGCCTTTAAGATTGGTTAAGACGCTGGAAAGCTGGCGCATTTGGGCATTCGTTCCAAATACGTCTCGTGGTACCTTGCGGGTGTCTTAATTGTGTCCTGCAGTTTTCCTGGTTTCGAAAAATGGCGTCACGACAGTTTTTGGAGTTAACCTTCTTTAACTTGCAAACAAAGAGACTATCAACAACTGAGCTGCGTTCTCCACCAAACAGTTGGATTCAATGGCACCTATTGATTGCAGAATCTTGGCTGTTCATTTTCGCTTACATCACGATTTGCTAACATCACGGAGCCTCTCTCTCTCCCACTCTGTGATAGCTACAGGCCTTGTTTCAAGACCTAGGTCAGAATTCTGTCATTTGAGGGTCTGCCGATTTTGAGGGCTGGAGGCTGCAGGGCCTGCAATCGTAGGGGCTCTAAAGCGCCCGC